GAGTCACTTGATTGCATGGGTAGTGGACGAAAAGTATGAGAGTAGAGGAGAGAACACTAGAATGTCATAGCTTATTTATTGGGATTGACAACTGGCAGGGGGTGTGGAGAGCTGACAAACGGAGAAGAAAGGCGATAAAATGTGATAAGGGTACGTGGGATGATACAAAATGAGATAGACGCAGAAAAAAAGATGGCGCTGTGGTCTGAGCCCAATCCAGGAGCTCTGTCTCATCTGCTCCGGTCACCCCAAAGGCAGGGGTGAAGCAGGCCAAGCAGAACGACGCTCGTTGACGAACGCGAGGGAAGATCCTCCACGAAACTCCGGCCAATGGAGATCAAGAAGGGCATCGACTGCAGTGCGGCACCCGCATCTGACCACGCTCATCCACCTGCAGCATCCTGCTGCAACTGCTGGGACCGACCACTGAGTTTTGATTGTAGGAGATGCGACATTGAGATGGGATAAGGGGAGCAAAGTTCAATTATATATATATATAAGATGAGACAGAGCAAAAAACGCATAGGATGAAATCCAGGTAAGATGATGCCAGATTAGACGGGGAAGAATGGGGCAAGCGAGAAAGGATTCGACTCTTCAACAAGTTTCACCGAAGGCATTGGTGCTCGCATGAGCCTCCGACAGGCCCCTCTGGTAGCTTGAGGTTCTCCCTGAAATATGCTCGATTCGTGTTGCGGGGATCGCTGTTGCAGCGGACAAGCCTGGCAAATCATAAATTCAGGAGCAAGAAGCTACTAGGTGGAGGCCATCGCTATTAGGTTGGAGGCCATTACTACTAGGAACAAGAAGCTACTATATAGTAACAAGTTGGGAACAGGAGAAGTCAAACAGCGCAGATGTGCTGGATGGTAGGCTTCCCACCTGAGGAAATCTTCAAGTTCAGATCTTACAGCATAAAAGAATGATTTAGAAAGTCTTAGGTCTTGGAAATAAATCTTGCTACCTGTTGGTCATTTATCTTCTTTCATATGCTTTCTCTTACTGGGTATTTGGCAAATGCCGACATGCATAAAGTCGGCTTGATGGAGCAGCTCACTTCCTGGCGTAATTACGTGCACTTTGGGGGGGCACAAGTAGAATGACAAAACCATGACAAAGTACAAACTCTCAGCTTTGACACTCAAACTTGCACTGCAAGTCAAAAACAGTTAGACGTTATGCAGCTTTTGGTATCAGCGTTTGTTCACTGCCTTCACAGAATAGCCTCTGCTGCTCAACAGGCACCCCAGTCCTTTCGAGGACCTGACAAAATGCCAACTTAAAATGTTGACACGACTCAACAAGCAGCAAGCGGTTGTCTTTTGTTCTCCACCTTTTTGACATCCTATATTTGTGACTCTGACAAACCAATTACACCGTGGCCAAAGTGGATGGCACGGCGCGAAACAGAAAAGGGCGAGTAGATGGCACCGACAGGGCCCTTCGGAGACACGCCCAGGTTAGGGGGAGCAGACCAATTTTAGGCGATGATGGCGCGCCTTTTTTCTGGTCATTCACGCCTTATTTCAGTGGTTCCTGTGAGAATAGATGGCGCAACTCTACATACCTTACCCTCTTTTGTCCCTCTGTCTCCTTTCCCTCTCCTCTCATGTCTTTTGACCTTCTGTGTCTGATCCTTATCCTTTTGCTTCCTTTCCTGCACTTCTCCTTTACCTTTCCTCCCCTTTGCTTTCTTTCCTGTTGTTTCTTTCTCTTTCCTGTCGTCTCCCTTTATTTGTTTCCTTTCCTCGCCCTTGGTTTGTTGACCTTGCCTTTCCCCTCCTTTCCCTGCACTTGCACTTCAATCTCCATTGACCTATTGTAAGAACGGTGCACACTAATGGATGGCGCAATCCTGGAGTGAAAGGTGATACAGTACTGTAATGGTTAATGATGGTTGAGTCATTAGATAGTCTAACCGGTCTCTCTCCTTTCATGCCCTTGCCCTTTGCTTTCCTTTCCTTGTGTTTCTTTTCATTCAGTTCTGCTTGACCCTCCCCTGGTCCTGTATTTCAGGGGTTCCTGTGAGAAGTAGATGGCGCAACCTCTCCTCTACTCCCCTTACCTTCTCCAAAGAAACGTGTACAATATTCAAATATTGCGCCAACAATGTAGCAAAATTGAATACTGTGTAGTTCTGTGATGCGCTCATTAAAGGCATACAGTACTGTATTTGATTAGAACAAGCTTGAACTTGAACAAGCCACATTCCACAAGCTTGACCTTGAACGCTGCTCATGGGCAAAGGTGGCGGGGCACAATCAAGGGTTGCAATACAGCATTATGGCTCCAACGGGCTTGATGAGCCATCTATTTATCATCAATTGTTTGCAGAATAAGGCGTAACACCGAAAAAAAGTTGAACATGAAAAAACATACAATTGTAGACTAATCTCCTTTGATGGCAATCAGGGTAACTATCTAGGTAGATGGCGCATTGTTATAGCTGTGCCATCAACAGATTTGGAACCCCCCTCAAAATGACACGCCTAGGTAGATGGCTCAATTAAGATATCAGTGCCATGCACTTTTACTTCGGAGTAAGGCTGTTGGCTGTTGATGTCTTGTGCTTCTGTAATGCAGAGGCCTGCGAGCGCACGTCTGTGATGCTCATGTTTGGCGCAGCATCCACCTGCGGACATCCATGTTCTTCCTCTTGTCATCTTGCATGAGGTTCAGCTCTCAGCTGATCAGCTGACTTTCTTGATTTCCACCGATGTTGTGCTATGTTTGAAATCGCTTCTGCACTGATCATCAAAAGCCCCGAAACAACTTGGAGTACTGGGAGGACGACCATGCAGGCAAGGTCTCCGCTGCACATCCAGCAAACCTCCAGGCGATCCACCTGCAGCTCACCAATTTCTGCAAGTACATGCACATGTCAATTCCACGTAGCATCTGTTTTGAAAAAGCGCTCTTCATTACCTATTTGACACTATGCAACCTGGATCCTCAAAGGTTCGTGACATGAAGAGTCTGCAGAAGGATAAGATCCAGTAAAGTGTGAGCTCTGCCTAACTCTATTTCTTCAAAAAGCACCGGTTGGGAATGTTCAATTTCAATTTGGTTTACCGCTTGCCTGCAATCCATCTCGGGCACTTCCGCCTTGGTGACCCAGAGTTGTAAGCAGTTCGTGCCACACCGCCACACCTGAAACCACCGGCCTCCAAGTAATGGAAACTCGACCATGGCTGGTGTGTTGTGAACGGGGCTATCCAGTTTCAGGTGAGGAGATGAAAGGCAAATCTGCAGTGTTAAAGTAATTGACATGTCTCCCATGAGTTCATGTGGATGTTGCAATTTCAAGCGGCCAGGCCCTCAACGTGGCTTGAAGCTCTGCCCCGATCACTCGAGCCAAACCCGCCAAATGTATTGTTACAGTGATACTGCTCAGTAAAATGCTGCTGCCAATGGAAACAAGGCTACTAAGCAAAACACAGGAAGACCCGCACATTCTTCACATACGGAACGGTTTGAATGGTTGCACGTGCAACCATTCTGGTAGACATACCAATTAAGTACAACCACAAGACTTTCGTCTTGAATGTTGGGAGAAGGGAGAAATCGATTGCTCTGATGTCAGTGACATTGAGTAATTTCCAAATGACCCTCCTCTATCGGCACCGCTTCTGTGGAAAGACAGTGAGTGGTCAGGGACATCAGGTCATATGGTAGCAAGAACAAAGCTTTATTGGGAGCTTTGCCCAGAAAAAAAAAGATGGACTCAGGCTACGCTCAGTCCCAAGGCCTACCAAGCGACTTGGAAAGTAAAGTACAACAACGGGCCTGGAGAGCACACAACCTGGACCTATTAGTAATGGCCTCCAACCTACTAGCGATGGCCTCCAACCTACTATATATCGATGGCCTCCAACCTACTAGCGATGGCCTCCAACCTACTGTTCCGCAATTGTGCCTTGGCCCTTTAGTTGCCTTTGCAGTGCACCTCGCCTGCTGCCCCAGAACGCCAGCAACACCCAAGAAATAGCCCGCAAGTGCAGCAGGTCCAATGCTCTTCACATACCTAAAGCAAGGCCAACGGACAAAGGCCAAAAATTCTGACGTCTTGGAGTCTTGCCTATCATATCATAAAATATGGAACCACAGGTATGTGACAGACCTTCTCGGAGCCTCATCCCTGCACTCGGCCTATCCTAGCTCTCTGACAGGCTCCAGGACAGGACAGACCCTGTCCTTGCCCAGGACAGGGCCTGGGAAGACCCCTCCTAAATTAAACGTTGACGTTTTGGCGGCGTCTGTATGCACACCCTTCTCGTAGCGTCATCCTAGAATTGCCATATGATAGATCCTATCCTTGCTCTAGGTCTATTCTAGCCCTGGAATACGCCCTACGATAGGCCCGATCCTAGAGCATATATGCCCCATACTGAGTGAGGCCCTATCCTGGCTCTAGGGGTGGGTCCTATGATAGGCCCCATCCTAGCCCTAGGCCTAGACCTCTTTCCCTAGCAAATGCATGGGCCTATAGTGAGACATCTGCATGATAAATACTGTGTATATCTATATAAATTCTGCAGGCAATATCCAGCCAAGGTGCCATCCGAAAGAAACTTTCCTCTCCATGCCCATGAAGGCAACTCCTGCCAAAAGCATTTATCCGCTGACCTTGATTTTGCTAAAACTAGCCCAAAGCGAGCCGTTGCATGTTTCTTGTGTTTGCACAAAGTAATGGATGCTGCATGCCGAACATCTGAGTTCTGAGTTGAATTGGCGTTCAAAACCTGAACTTACAGGCTTTAATTGGTCTGCCTGCAACTCCTTGGTCTTGGTGCTTTCTCCTTTGCTGTATGGTTGATTTGTGTTTCATCTTGAGTCGTGCTCAAATCACGCGTTGCTGTGGCCTTGACCGATGCTTGTTCCAGCTTGTTCCATCCTTGATCTGTTTAATTTGGCATTCTGTGTTTCTCACGACCTGACTACTTTAGTTGTTCTCGTGTGCTCCGCTCCGGCTGACGGAAATGGAGACACAAACTGCAAACTCACTGATTATATAAGGTACCAAGGGAGAAGACTAGAAAGAGCAAATAGACATAGAAATTATTGGCAGCCAACAAAAGGCCTGCTGCAGATCCAATGACCAGAAGAGATCCGCCAGTGGCAGCGCAGTACCTGTAAACTCGTCATATGTCTTCACCATCGCTTGGCACTTTACCTGATAGAAATGACTGGACCATTTTGATCCATTTTGTGCGGCCGCGGAAGTCACGTGATCAAATTCCAAAGGCCATCGTTTGCAGGATGTGCTTCGAGATCATACATCCCCTTAGACAAGAGGCATGCTAATCGAGGAAGGTGCAAACGTCGTATAAAAATGTAAATATACATAATATAAACATGCAATATATATATATATTTACTTATACTCATTGTTGCTGATGGGTGGCCTGAGCAGCAGCCACCAAAGGCACGTTGTCAACAATTGCAGATGCGAACCCAAGGAAAATGGCCACCTGGGAAAGCAGCAATTTCCAGCAGCGGGCTACCCGCTTCCCTTGTGTTGTCAGGAGCACCCTGGAATTCCAATGATGCAGACACGCAAACAAGCGGGCAGTTTTATGCAAGCCAATTCAGCTTGCCAAACCCTTTGCTGCAAGCACTCATAGCTCTGAGTGTCACACCAACGCATCGTAAGGCACATACGTACTCAGCTGCACCGCAAATTCCTCTATGCCAAAATTGTCAGAGCACAGGGGATTCAATCGTAGTCACTGAACGGAATGAACAAAGCAATAAAAGGATGATAAAGTGAAGTATTCATGAGATCTGAATTGATCCCATTGGTTGATTGCAAACAAATGCAAACAAGGTGTTTGTGAAGAAGTCAAAAGAAGAGAAGAAACACGGGAGAAGTCTTGGTCCTTCAGCAGGCCCACTCGCTCAAGGCCACCAACCGCGAACAGGACGCCAAGGAAAAAAAGGGCATCTGGAACCTCCAAGGAAACTTATAAGTTATAAGCGTAGTAAGAAGAGAAGCCACTGGTAAGTAGAAGTTATTAGTAGCTTGACTCTCAGCTGGACGTAGCAAAGCTGGGCTCTTTAAGAAAGCTGCCGCCCCGCCCCATGATAAAAACGGTGCCTAGATTTTGAAGAAAATGAATATCCAAAAACTCTTATTGAAAAGTAGTGGCAACGTCGAGAGGGAGAGAAACTCTTGCCTCGACTCGAGTGAGTGCTCCCTTCAAGGAATATTTCTCATCCTCTGGGCCGTGGAGCCTGGTGTCCATGGGCGGCTCAATGGTACAAGTAAAAGGTAAACTGGTAGTAGCGTCCTTGCTCCTAGTAGCTTCTTGCTCCTAGTAGTAAGGCTAGGAGCCCCGGTAGCATCCTTGCTCCTAGTAGCTTCTTGCTCCGAGTAGTATGGCCAGGAGCCCCTAGTAACGTCCTTGCTCTTAGTAGCTTCTTGCTCCTAGTAGTAGGGCCAGGAGCCCTAGTAGCGTCCTTGCTCTTAGTAGCTTCTTGCTCCTAGTAGTAGGGCCAGGAGCCCCAGTAGCGTCCTTGCTCCTAGTAGTAGGCCAGGAGCCCCTAGTAGCATCCCTGCTCCTGGTAGCTTCTCTAGTAGCTTCTTGCTCCTAGTAGTAAGGCCAGGAGCCCCTAGTAGCGTCCTTGCTCCTAGTAGCTTCTTGCTCCTAGCAGTCATAGGGTTAGAGCCGGATTCGGAAACTAATCGGTCGGATTCTGAAACTAGGGTTCTGAAACTTGGATTCTGAAACTGGTATTCTGAAACTGGGGTTCTGAAACTAGGATTCTGAAACTGGGGTTCTGAAACTAGGATTCTGAAACTGGGATTCTGAAACTTGTATTCTGAAACTGGAAAGTCAGATTCTGCAACTGGTATTCTGAAACCGGAAAGTCAGATTCTGCAACTTGTCTTCTGAAACTTGCAACTGGTGATCTCCACATCATGCGACAGCGTGTGTGCCTGTGACATCACCTTCGAAGCACATCCAAACCAACGTCATTAACCCCCCACCCAACCCCCCCACCCCCCAACCCCCCCTTGTCCCCATCGTGTGATCTCGACATCACGCCAACCCCCTCATCATTCACAAAGTTGCGGAATCCTAGTGAGGGAGTCCACAATGTTGCGGAATCCTAGTTGCGGAACGCCAGTTGCGGAATCCCAGTTGCAGAATCCTAGTTGCGGAATCCTAGTTGCGGAATCTTGACAGTTGCGGAATCCTAGTTTCGGAATCCTAGTTGCGAAATCCTAGTTGCGGAATCCTAGTTGCGGAATCCTAGTTGCGGAATCCTAGTTTCAGAATCCTAGTTGCGGAATCCCAGTTGCGGAATCCGACCAAACAGTTGCGGAATCCTAGTTGCGGAATCCTGCGCAGTTGCGGAACTCGACTTTATCCACGCTTCTTGCTCCTTGTAGTAAGGCCAGGAGCCCCTAGTAGTGTCCTTGCTCCTAGTAGCTTCTTGCTCCTAGTAGTAAGGCCAGGAGCCCCGGTAGCATCCTTGCTCCTAGTAGCTTCTTGCTCTAAAAAGTATGGCCAGGAGCCCCTAGTAGCGTCCTTTCTCCTGGCAGCTTCTTGCTCCTAGCAGTCATAGTGCGTCCCTGCTCCCAGTAGCTTCTTGGTCCTAGTAGTAAGGCCAGGAGCCCCTAGTAGCGTCCTTGCTCCTAGTAGTAAGGCCAGCATCCTTGCTCCTAGTAGCTTCTCCAGGAGCCCCTAGTAGCGTCCTTGCTCCTGGTAGCTTCTTGCTCCTAGCAGTAAGGCCAGGAGCCCCTAGTAGCGTC